TCTAAATCAAATCACAAAATTAAATTAACAGCTATTTGATTACTTTAAAAGTTTCCTTAGTAACGCAGGTCTAATTGTCGCTATAAGTACAACATAGCCTACTTATTTCAAAATTCAAATTTCACATCGATAATTTTCTGACTTAAATATTGTATTTAATATAATTTTTCAATATTAAATCGTGGTTCTTCCCGTCAAAGAAAAAAATGTGTATTATTTACACGAGAAAAATACTAGATTTTGGCTTTCGGTTTTTTGTACCTCAAGCTAAAATTTATAGGTACTTTTTCGCTTGAATAATAAATAACTATTTATTTGTAATAACATTCAAGGACGCAAGATTCGGATACTATATCTATTCTACCACCTAACCCCTCAACATTACGAGATGTATAAAAAAAACTAGCAAATTGGTGAAAATCATTATATGTATATAACAATGGCTATAATGAAGCATAATTAGTATACAGGCATGAAGAAAACATAATGTTACGAAATATTTCGCAGCTGAACAAGTAGTTTCTTTCATTTATTCATTATTAATGCCATGCATATTTCTCTAGCTATGCATTTGTTTGCCCAATGTGACAGAGAGGTCAAACTTTGTATTTATATATGTTATCAATTGTCATCAAGTTAAGATCATTAATGGATTTCGATATATGATCATATTTTCTGAGATCATTTACGGGCCAGCACTATGCATTCACCATACTTTGAACACGATCGGTATACCATCTAAACAGAGGTAGAAAACAAATAAGTAATAAGCTTTTTTAAAAATAAGAAAGTTTCGCACTGTTGCCTTCTCGGAGATTTATGAAATACAGCTTTATTTGCAAATAAAACTCTGAGAACGGCGTAGCGCTGAGAAATTAGATAGTATACTTGTTCAAGAAATTTTTAATATATTTAATTATTTTATTACATTTTAAATTCATATTTGTCATTTTTTTGTTTTAGACTAAAATATTTGTCTTTAAAGGGTTCAAACGGAGATTATGACCACTACTATTCTATTCAATTTAGGCAGGACGGTGAAAAGTCATTACTTCGAAATTAATAGAAAACATGTGTATCGTGCACAAAAACCTGCATGCTGCATGATTTTACCTCTGTAACTAAATCCGAGATATATAATGAAAATAACAGGGGCCCTATGACAGGTCCCTGTGGTACAGCAGAACAAATTTTTTGTGTGGTAGAGTACTGTTCATTTAGACGACATTTTTTAAGCCGATTTTAAACGAAAGAGCTTTGTCAGAAAATCCATAATAAGTGCATTTTGACACAAGAAGTTAATTATTAATTGTGTCAAATGCTTTAGTGACATCAAGAAGTATAAGAGCTTCTGAGTTTTGGTTATCAAGTGCCATTATTATATTGTGTGTTGAATCACAGAGTAATGGAGCTGTGTTATGACCTTTACGAAAACCAGATTGGTTAGATGGAATAATTTTGCTAGAATATAAGTGACGCAAAGCTGCTCGTAAACAACGCGTAAAAATACTTTTGAGAAAATAGGCAGTAAGCTGATCGGTCTTACTTATACAGTTTGTATGATCAGAATACTTAGGCACCGGAAGCATACTGTGTTACCGCTGAAACTGGGAAATATTCCATCTTTAACCAATAGTTAACTATAAGCATACATCAATTTCAGATACACAGAATGGTACCATATGCAATACTATTTCATCTGAACCGCTAGAATTTGATTTTATTTTATGAATAATTTTAATAATGCTGTCAATATTCACTTTACTAAATTGGTTTTTATTAGCTCGGTAGTATGCAATTTTATCAGCAATACTGTTCTCAGAAACTGAAATGAACGATTCATTTATTTTATGCGGATCTGGAATCATAGGATCTTTCTGGATCGCATTAAAGCTTGTACATACATAATCTCTTTTTCCATTCGACATTAGTGTTAATGCACGAGTTCTGGAATATGTATACTGATGCCAAGAGGCGGCTGAACGATCACGTTTGAACATTGACAAAGTCTCAGCTCTTTGCTTGAATTCAAGTTTAATCTTTTTTTGGACAATGAACATTAACACAAAATATTGTCTGTTTATTTTACCTTCAATATCATCTACAGTTATAACATGCCACTATGGAATACTCTTGAGATGTTCAAATGCTTTTGATTTAAATTACGGAAATTACTGAATGTTGCAAATTTCTGTTCATTTTTAGAAATTGTAATATATATCACAGAAGATTAAAAAGTAATCAGTAAGATATCCGCAATAATGGTGCCACTCCTAAGATAACTTTCAGGATTGCTCAAATAGATAGAATCTATGAGACTGAGTGTTGATTCGGTTAGCCTAGTCGATTCAGATATTACTTGTTCGAAGCGAGGCATTTAGTCAAGTTGTTACAAACTGAAAGCAAATTAACATCAATATTTCCTGCAAGGATGATATTATCAAATTTAGCTAATATTGCAGGTAACATGTCAGCAAATGTATTAACGCTTTTATAACAGAGCAATGTGGGGGTCGATAGAATATACCGATAGCTATTTTTTGTTCTGAAAGCTGCACCTTCAACCTTATACAGGGAAAACCAAATTTGTCTGACTGCTTGAGTTCAATGTGAATGAGACAGAAGCGTGAGAAGTATGTGTCAACACATGTTAGAAAGAGATGGAAGCCGGCTGAAGGGCGAAATTCATCACCATATTGCATAGCGACGGTGATGCAGAAGAGAATATGTTACACCAGAAAATATTCTCACATTCTTCTATGTCACTGTTAACCCCAAGGAAGAGGTCTGCTCGAACATTTAATTTAATATTTTATTTTCATTTTGATTAGAATTATTTATTTCAATTTTGATACTACTTACAGTATATTCAGATAAGAGATAGACCGGACATAAACAAGACCACGTGATCATCGAACGCTGTAACATTCGGCAGTGACGTATTAAGAGTCACGCAGTACATATTTTAGATAGTAGATGCTGCTTTGCGTAACTTTGTAGTAAATTAGCACAATTCGATGTGTATACGATTGGTGATGGATATAGGATCATGTGGGGGTGGGGTAAGAAATATATAATGATGTAAATATACATAAGGGTTTCAAAATTTTCGCTTCGATTTCCAGCTTCGGATGCCGCCTGATGTTTGGTGAAATACAGTCGAATATAATCTCAAAATGGCGTTTAAATTAGCCTAAATTAAAAATAATCGTATATCTCTTAAAATTGCTTTTAGAATATTGATTAGTATATTTTTTAATTTCTAGGTAAATATGTAACCAAATTAAAACGTTCAAAATGTAAAAAAATCTGCATGGTTGAACATTGTCAGAAAGTAGATTCTTGAATAGGTTTTGCCAAAATGGGTTCAAAAATGTCAATAATTAATTAAAAAATACAGTAGCTTTATAATTACTTATAACTTACCGAATTTGATGAACGACATCTTTTATTGGAAACATGAGCTTGATGAGCTTTCATCATCGCTACTGCCTGAAGCACCAACGTCAATAATGAATGGCTCGACTTGTTCCTCTAAAATATTGTCCAGTTCCCACATTCTCTTTTCAACTTTGTCTTTCACGTGCTTAATACAGTTTTCCCATTTTTGCGCTGTTATTAATTCTAGTGCTTCTTTGAAAAGTCCTTTGAGGTCACAAAATTTAAAAGTTGTATTGTGCTTAGCTATATAATTTTTAACCTCTGCCCATATGAGCTCAATGGGATTGAGCTCGCAATGGTATGGAGGTAAACGGAGCACAGTTTTATTTTGACTTGCTGCCATTTCGTCAATGGCGTATTTTTGATATGCCGAAACGTCCAAAGAAATATCAAATTGCAATGATGCACACGACATACGTAACACGTCTGAACCTGAATGTGACTCTACCTTGATACGACTGCTCTGCCGCTCGGCATAGGCATTTAATTGCGAATTGACCAATGAGGGCTCCTGTTTTACGTCGAGACGGCGGCGTTAGCGTGAAAATCACCCGAACCTTTTGTTTACATCCGGTCTATCTCTTATCTGAATATACTGTAGTGTTTCAATTTATTTTAGAATTATTTTTGATTTCCACCGATGGTGATAAAATGTGAAAAATGTAACAAATACCATTACGCAATACAAATTATCACTGCCTGCGTGTACGTAGGTGAAAGCCATTTCGAAGCAGAACGACACTCTTCAATGAGCGCCTATGGGTACTGACCAAAATCGATCATCTATTGTCATGGAGGTGGAAACCTTGCCTTGGAATGTATGAGATGCGGTCTTGCCAAGCGAACCAATGATGCAATTTTGCAGAGTTTGTGGCAATCCTGACCTTTCAATTTGGTTCTCAGTGTATATTCAAGATTTAGGCGATGCCCAGTTAAAATTAAGCAAGAGTTTTACAGGTTTTTATAAAGACTGTGACCTCACCCTGTGGTGACATTTTTTACTATAACTCAACACAACCTAACGTCTGTTTGGTACTTGCTACTTGCAGCTACATGGTTTGGATCCTATGATTGCATACCAAGGCCTTCCTAATAATTTTACTCAAAACAACATATACCACAACGACGACCGCACTACGAAGCAGTTCGAGGTACCTTGTGTCACTTAACGAAATGAGACATTTTGAAAAATGAAAGTTTTTGAGCAAACAGAGTCCATTCCGTATTTCCAGTGTGTCCGAATTGTTCCTGAATATTCACAATCATATTAGTCTACCCTATTTCTACATACATCTGACTATCGGCCTGTCCGTTCTGTCCTGTTAGCGGAACAATGCCAAGCGATATTCTTGCACACAAAGCGTTTTGTAATCGAAACGTCTGCGACAGAAAGAGCTGATCAGCCACACAACTGATGTTATGCGGGGGTAGATATATTGAAATGGCACATCCACTGAACGCGATCGTCACAGCGGCATCCGGATGTAGTAAGTACGGTGAGGCTTATTTCATTATCTCTTTATCAAAAATGCAAGCGTTGATATTATCCAAATAGTTACCTGTAAGTCTGTGAACAGTTCTGCAAGCGTAGCTTCTATATCCATCCGCAGGTCCTGCATCAGCCACGTATAGTCGACCATCTGGCAACGCTGCATACTTTCCACCAGCTTCTAAAATTTGAATTTTAACGTGATTGTCATTTTTCAGAAAAGCTACACTAATTGGATTATATTCAAACTCTTGGTTATTCACTTTAAGTTCAAAAACGAGAAAAAACACTTATAGCCAAGTACGAAAATGGTAGATGGTAGCGGCCCCTATCGCATGTCCCCGCCAAGATGTACGCGTATAATATACGGGGTGACATTAGAAATCCTTTCTCCAACTTGACCTTTGGCAATATAATGACTATATTTGAAGCAGGCTGTGAGAAAAATGGCAATGTTTTATCTTTGTTTTTGTTTACCTTTGTTAAAATGTTATCTCTTAGTTTTTCTGAAGAAAGCAGTTTCTGAGAGCTGAGCAGCACAAATATTTTTTTTATTGCCCTTTGATTTACTGTCACTGAGTATATTTCCAATTCACCTTCAAACAAATAAAATAGCTGCTGAATCCTACCTCGTGAGTTTAGTTTTGACACAAAATTCATTGGCTTTAATTTTAACAAATACAAAATGATCTTAAGTTGCCTTTGGAAACAAAAATTTGTTCACTTAATTTACTAACAGTTGACATTTAATAAATTATTTTGAAGTTTTCGCTTTAAGATATCGTATAAATTAGAAATAAGTTGGTTGGGCAGATATAAAAGCTGAACTATGTCAAATATTCCAGAATGCAAAACATTTCACTCAGAACTATTTATCGATCGATAGCGGAGTGCGAGCAGGGACTACCATGTCTGACTCTACCAAAAAGTGGAAGACCACGTGCATTTACTGCACAGAGGGCAGAGGAGCAATAAATCAGGTTGGAATGTCAACAAGGAGTCTGGCTCGTCAATACAGTTCTCCTAACAGTACGATATTGGAATTGAGGAGGAATGGTCTTTACCAAATGCTCTCAAGCCCAAAACCCTTTCGTATAGCAAGATGCTGTCGTCAACTGTGACGGATACACTTTGACAATGGTAAAAATCATTATTTTAGATAATGAAAAGTATTTCACTTCGAGGAATTCTGAGATTAAGGGAAACGATAATGACAATGTTAGATAAAAACATAAAGCGAAATTTGCAGATTAAATGTTTGACTAGTGCACAATTTCTAACAGGGGTGTATCCGAACCTTTTGTGGGAAGGGTGAAGGTTGAAGCTTTGAATAGCTATATTGATAAATGTCTTTCTAAATTGCTTCAGTTTGTCCACGAACATCATGCTAATGACCATATCATGTTTTGGGCAGACTTAGCCTACGTACCATTACCCAAAAGATACCCAAAACTGGCTTTGACAACACAACATACCTTTTGTTACCAAAAACGATAATCCTCAGGCTCGCCCAATAGAGGATCTTTGGGCTTTACTGTCTAGAAAGGTTTATCATTAAGGCTGGGAAGCTCACGATAAGCAACTAAGACGGCGAGTTTACGAAAAACGGAGAGAAATTGATATGACTTCCATTCAGGACCTCATGAGAGGGATTCGAAGAAAGTTTTGTCTGGTAGAGCAGAATAGGCCATTCCAAGATGTCTGTGTAAACCGTATAGGAATCCGCTAACATGCACCTCATTTATGGGGAATGTAGGTGCAATGGTGGTGTTGAAGCTAGGCTTTACCGTGAGAGGTACCCATCGAGTTTCTGTGAATGTGCACCGTTTACTCTCAGAGGTACGATTCCCAAATCCAGCACGTGGAGATGAAATAAGTTCCTTTCCTTACGATTACGTCGTACTACAGTGGAAGAAGACCCGAGTACTTTAGTACCTGAAAGCAAGTACGCAAGTGCCAAAACTGCAACCTACCGAGTCTTGCGAAAGAACCAGCTCCACCCGTATCACGTACAGCGAATACAAGCTCTACAACCCCGGGATTATCTACCAAGAGTTAAATTTTGTCAAACAATGTTACAGAGACACCGGGAAGATCCGCGATTTTTAGAGAAACTTTATCGACTGATGAGTCGACATTTAAGAAGGATGGCTACATGAATCTACACAACTTACACGAGTGGCATCTAGAAGATACATACAAGGCACGGGTATCACGCATCTTGAAAAGTGACATTATGCCGTTTTTTTTGACATCACACTGTTTTTTTTGACATTATGAAGGTTTTTCTGCAAAATATTAACTTACGACTTAGTTGTACGTGTTGCCTAAACATCATGAGGCTTGTTATCAATCTTTGGCTCTGAGATGGCATTACTGGAGTTCGAAGCTGTAAGTTGTATGTGTTGATGATAATTACATTGGGTTCTTGTCTCAAATACACTTAACTAGGATTCAAAGCTAGAAATCCATTCTGGAAATTACATATACAAATTTGCTGAATTTCAAAAATGAGAGAGATAAGAAATAATTATATTCACTGTACACTGTCGAATTACAAGCCATATACATGCTAACAGTAATCACACAACGCGGGCGCGGTGATCATTCCCCGTAATTCTCCTCAGTTTTTCGTAATTTATAACTTTGAACATAACCTCCCTTCAGAAAGAACACCATAAAAATAACCCGTCGGGCACAGCCAATAGATACACATCATTGGCAGCATATTCAGTAATGATTTTCTCACACTATAATGCGTGTAGTTTAGTTGAGTGATTCCTCCTTAGATGGACGTTCACAACGATCCTAGTGAGCAAACTTGGAATGACTGTTTGCGCCCTAAAAACTACCTAGTTTGCAAGATGACATCTTATAGGTTTTTGTTTGACGTTTTATAGGTTTATACGTATACATGATACCCACGCGGGACTCTAAATGGGAGGATTATTGTACCCTTTGAGCAGCTAGACTTCTTGAATGGTGAACTTTATTCAGACTAAAGCATTTATCATATTCATTGCCACTAAGCATTTACAGAGACATGTGGACCACCAAGACGGCTGCTCGGCGCACTACGCCCGTTTCAGTTAGACAATATTTTGATACTGAATCCCCTTGCAGATCAGTAGGACAGTCTTGTACTATTTCGTGTCCAGCCCGATCCCCTCACTTAAGTCCACTTGATTTTTTTCACTGTGGAGCGATTAAAGAAAAAGTTTACTCAAAGCAAATCAAAAATTTAGCTGAGCTACGGGACCGAGTAAGGGAAGCAGCTGAATTTGTTAATAACGGAACGTTATCCGGTCATTTTTAAGATGTCGAGCTTGCATTGCTGCTAAAGGAAGGCAGTTTGAACATTTGTTGTTAATTTAATAAATACATTCTCGAATTAATAAAAGTGGCGTTTTTATTTCTCTCTGTCACTTCGTAGAACGACACTGTCTGTCATTCCGTCTAAGAAAAATTTAAAATTTGTTGAGTTGAGAACTAAAAGATCATCACAGGGTGTAGATTTCTATGATCTTTTTTTTAAAGTCTATAGTACACGATTTTTTATACAGGGTGTTCCTTAATGATATGCGAATATTTAAGGGTGTGAGTCTACATGAAAAATTAATGTTAGTTTGCTTTATAAACTATGGTCCCAAAATGCTGAAGTTATGGGAAAAAATGGAAATTAATTAATATTTTCAGAACTGCTTCATATATTTCACTGATATTTAGTACGTAGTGAACGTTAATAAAGTTGCATATTTTTCAATACAAAAATAATTTTTTGCTTTAACAGTGGCGTGCGTACGGGCATTGACTTCGATATTTAAAAAAATGATACGCCAATGGTTTTTTGCCATTTGCCATTTTGAATTCCTCGTTCAATGTAAAACCAATGGTCTCTCTTGAACTCTTTTCTTTCGATGCGCCATTTTTGAGTAAAAAAAAAAACGTTCTATTGCCCGAGAAAATTCATGTAATAATTGAAGAATGCAATTTAGCAATAAATATCTAGTTGCTCTGGCATATGTCACTGGATTTTGACATGTGACACGTCTCTGTTATTCAAATCTGTTCGCTTTGACATCTTTTTCATTATTTAGTTTTTACAATCTTAGTAATGGTGAATTATTCAAATGCAGGTAATGCCGGCGGTAATGGTGAGCAAGTAAGACAGATTTATCACCAGAGCTATCCCGATCGTGCTTTGCCAGATGATCGGACCTTTTCTAATATACATCGTCGTCTTGTTGAAACTGGTTCTGTCCGAAAAGGGACATCTGAAGATAGACCTCTAAATGTTAGAACACCTGAAATTGAGGAAGCAGTGCTGCACGAAGTCGAAGAACATCCTGAAACGAGTACGAGGAAGATCGCTAGACACTTAAATATTTGCCATCAAATTGTTTGGAGAATTTTAGTGGATTTTTTGTTATATCCTTACCATAGTTTACGAGCACAGGCATTACTTCCCATTGACTTTCCAAGGCGTGTGACCTTTGGTCAGTGGTATCTTCAAAAAATTACACAAAATCCGCAGTTTGAATCAATGATTCTGTTTACGGACGAAGTTAATTTTTCTCGAAATGCCATTCATAATTTCCACAATAATCATTTGTGGGCAGAAAAAAATCCCTATGCCGGAACCGAAACCCATTTCTAACACCAATTTTCGGTTAACCTATGGACAGGAATTATTGGCAACGACTTTATTGGCCCATTCTTCTTGCCGGGACGACTTGCCGGACAGACTTACCTCAACTTTCTTCAACAACAGTTGCCTTTGCTGCTTGATGATGTTCCGTTAGTAATAAGAAACAATATGTGGTACATGCATGATGGTGCACCGGCGCATTTCAGTGTAGCGGTTCGTAATTATTTACAAACTGTTTATCCAAATCGTTGGATTGGCCGCGGTGGGCCCTAAGAATGGCGACCAAGGTCCCCAGACCTCAACAGTTTAGATTTCTTTTTGTGGGGCTATCTTAAGACACTAGTGTACACAAGTCCTATTAACACTGTAGAGGAATTAAGAGAAAGAATAGTTGCAGCTTGTGATAGAATAAAAAACCCTCCAGCGATATTTCAACGAGTGCGCAATTCGATGAGAAGGAGGGCGGAAGCAGGCATACTAAGGGGGTCATTTTCAACAATTTTGTAATTATTTCGTTGGTTTTAATGTTATGTTTATGTTGTCAGTTGTTGTTGTTTATTACCCCTAATGTGTTTAATTTTTCCAATTAAATTAATAATAATTTTGCAAGTTAGACAATAGAACGGTTTTTAGTATTTACTCAAAAATGGCGCATCAAAAGAAAACAATTCAAGAGGGAGCATTTGTTTTAAATTGAATGGGGAATTCAAAAATAGTTTTTATTTGGCAAAAAACCACTGCTGATGAACAAAAAGTTAATTTCACCATTTTAAAGTACAGTCAGTTAACATACACTAGTGAAACTCCAGGATATGTGACGTTAGATAACTTCGGACGTGGTTTTCTGTCATACACTTTCAAGTTAATCAAACCTAATGCTAATCCACATTTACGTATAGGAAATGCATGCTCAGAAGCTGATCCCGACTTTTACGTTACTTTTCTGATGAATAACTTGAGTTTTACTACCATATTGTCTCTTGGAAAGTAAAAACGGAAGATTCTGAATGAAAAGTTTGTTAAATATCAATCAATAAAATTATAAAATCATTTTCAAGCATTTTTTCTTCAATTGAGTGAAAGAACAGTATAGCTCCAAGCTATTCTTCTTCAAATATCTTTTTTTTGCAGTAATTTCTTTTTAAATTTATGTAGGTATTATTATCGTCACCATGAGTTCTATAATTTCACAATACATGATTAGGCTGAGCGACCCATCGTTTTCTTTCGAAACAGTTCTTTCGTTTTTCTCAAAATAGTAATTTTGGAGATGTATTGTTCGTTCACTCACCGATTCAAATAGTCTAAACTGTGCAGGGTTCTCACCGTTCACCGTTAACAGTAGCGTACGATGCTCTCTTCCATTTTCTTACTTGACTATAGTGGTGGTGTAATTTGAACTTACAATCCTGGTTTAGAATCTCAGTGACGTTAGACATAGCTTTAATGATAAAATCTGTGATATACAACGAGCATCGGACTCACCTGCTCCGGGATAGATATTGACACCGTCATCTCTCACCCATGACGTCACCATTACGTAGTCTGCTGCATGGCCTGATATTTGGCAACGTAGCACCGCAGTGTTGCCGGAAGAGACGTATTCGTCTGCTACGTGCACGTCGTATTTTTGTTGAACAACTGCAAAAAAAAACAATAAAGGATCATTGCATCCATGTAAGCAAGCAGATTGCATTTAAAATACGTTCAGCTATATCAATGATATCAGGTTAAGTACATTCGTTTATACCCTCAGAATTATGAGTCAAGTGCCAAAAAGGGGGATCAATTCATAAATCGACAAAATACTTTTTTATTTTGACGGAATATTAATAATTTTCTTCTGTGGCTTTCGTTTTTCAATCACAGGTTGTAACTGGAAGTTATCTCTCGAAAAGCGCTAATCAATATTAGGTTTGCCCTAAAACGGTAGTAAACTTTATCCAAAGCAGCATTTATCAGTTAGCTAGAAAGTTGTACCTAAAACCGCAATGCCTAACCATTTCGCCTGCCAGTGACATGTAGAGTTGTGTTGTTTCGGTCCGACCCGTTCCGATTGAATGAGTCCTGTGGTAGGTCCGTTCGGACCGAGTCGGCACGGGTATTATGTAAAAAACAGAAAAAAACATCAAAAAAGCTAACAAAATGCCATCTCTATCATTTCTGAAATTCAGCAAATTTGCATCTGTAATTTCCAGAGTGAATAAGAAAAAGTGGATGCGCAACTGATTTTTAGCTTTGAATCTCAAGTAAGTGTATTTGAGACAAGAATCCAATGGAATTATCATCAAGACATGTAATTTACAGCTTACATTTCCAATAATGCCATTTCTGAAGCAGATGTTACATCACATCAGAGACAAACATTGATAACTGAAGCATCATGACGTTTAGGCACTACAAAACGAGTTCACAACAACTGTACAAAAGATTGCGCTAAGTTGCGATCTTGTAGAAAAACGTACGTTGTGTAAAAAAACTACGTTATCTCAAAAAAAAACGACCTAATGTCATTTTTCAAGGTACGTAATACCCATATCGGCCTCTCGGTCCAATCGGATCCGCTGGAACGGAAATATACAACCGCATTGCAATTATTGTTCTGGGAACAGGCGACGCAAGTGCATTCAAGGACCAAAGCTCTGTCCGCCGATTGATCGTGTGAATTGTGCGATGCGACATGTTCGCAACTTTTCGAATTTTCAATTGAGAAATAAATGTCCATGGATAAAATAATCATTTAGTTTAGAATGTATACAGATTTTTTCATATGATACAAAACATAACTGTCATACTATTTTTTAAAATTAGTTATCAAACATCGGTATCATGAAACAGTTGATGTTGGAAACCGTTTCATTGTCAACATCAGCAAATAAGAAATGGGGCACCAGCACCAAATCGAGATTCCGTAATACTGTAGGATTTAACACTGTATAAAGCATCCCACAAACCGGCGCGAAATAATCGCGGCGAAGTATTCGCAACGAAATTCAGAGCGAAATTCGCAATCTGTTTCGCCTGTTTATTCATACCAAAGCGTCTTATTCGCTCCGCGAACGTGAAGGTTTCGACAGGTTGCGTACATTTTATTTTTGCCTTTTGCAATGAGCTCGTCTTCAGAAGAAGAGGAGGCACTTCTATTTCTTGCTTTAGAAGAGGAACAAAATGCACGGTAAGTTATGTTTATTTAACGCCATTTGATAGTTGGGTATGTATTAAGTTTAACGAAGTACATAAAACAAATATTTTCAATTTTGTTTAGGAAATGAAGGAAGTGGGTACATGATATATTTTAAAATGACTCCAGAGTGTTTCGATGAAATATTGAACTTGGTGAAAGATGAAATACGAAAATCTGACACAAATTATCGTGAAGCCATTTCGCCAGAAGAACGACTTGCTATTACACTCAGGTAAAAAAATTATATGTATTAAAATTAGTAGGCTTATCGAATACGAAAACTAAAGGGATCGTGAAATAAATATTTTATTGTAATAATTGGACTACATGTTGTCACTAGGATTAAATGTTGCTAAATAATTCGAGGCAGAATTTGCCTCCTCTGTTGGGTATATTATTGGAGTAAACCCAGTGCTGCTTGGGAAGGACGACATACTACTATCATACATACTTGCAGAATTCTGGGTAGACGCTGAAGACATTTCTTCAATATGTTCAAATTCTTCGTGCGCTATTAATTCGGCTATTTTTAGTTTTATTCGGGCTTGACGCTTTAAGGGAAGTGTTTTCACAGTCTGTGCATGTGCCAAGAAAAGTGAATCAATGGCCTCGTTCTCTTTTTTAGGTTTTTTACCTTCAAAATAATTAATGAGCTGTTGTACAGACGAAGATGGTGGTTCATAGCGTTTTCTGCTCGTTTTATATTTTGGTGTAGTTGCAGTCTGCGGAAAGGTGTGCCCTGGAGTAGTCACTGCTGTAGTGTTCAATGAAGAAGGTGGTGCTGTCTGTGTTGCCGAGGCGTTCTGTGCATCTTCTGCATCTACATCAGCATTTTCATCTTCTCCATGGCCGCGGTCTTCCAAATTTTCGGTTTCTACATTTCCAGCCCTTTCCTGATATATATTTGAGTTAAATTCGGCAGTCTCATAATGTATGACGTCAATATCTTTCACATTAGACGACGTTTTGGCAAATGCCAAAAAAGGACGGAAAAATTCCATGTAGTCGGCCCACTGCCACTTTTTTATGTTGCCCACTGCTTGGCCGGTCTTTGGTTTGGTAGATTTTATATATTTTGCAAATGTGTCTCTGATATTCTTCCACCTTTTTTTTACTTCATCACCTAAAAACGATTTTTTTTATAGATTCCTTGCCACTGGTGATACCTTCTATACCATTGGGCATAGCTTTCGAGTTGGCTTTACAACAGTGAGTGCAATCGTAACAGAAGTCTGTGAAGCGATATGCAGACGTATGGAGCATATATATTTACCAGAACCAACAGAGAATATATGGAAAAAATGTGCTGAAGAATTTGAAAATAGATGGGGATTTCCCAATTGCATTGGCAGCGTGGACGGTAAACATGTAACAATCAAGAGACCTAACAACAGTGGCTCCAATTACTGGTGCTATTTACATAAATATTCAATAGTACATATACTTATGGCCATTGTTGGCCCGGACTATAAATTTATATGTGTTGATATTGGTGGTTTCGGAAAAAATAGTGATGGGGGTATTTTCGAAACCTCAAACATGGGAAAACAATTTGAACAAAATTTAATGAGTGTCCCTGCACCTAGATTTCTCCCTGGGCAAAATGAAATCTGCTCGTACGTCTTAATTGGTGATGAAGCATTTGCTTTAAAACCATACCTTATGAGACCATTTCCTTATAAGCAGACTTTAACCGACGTCAGAAAGGAGAAATACAATGTAAGACTTTGTCGAGCTAGAAGGGTCGTGGAAAATGCGTTTGGTATTTTGTCTCAAAAATGGCGAATATTTTACAGGCCATTAGAAACTAAAGTAGATACAACTATTCTAATTGTACGTATGGCATGTGTTTTACACAATTTTTTACGAAGTAAAAGTGGCGATGACAAATATTTCCAATTCTTAGATCCCCCAGAACCCGTGCTTGGAGCTTTTACTGATATAGCAAATGATCCTCGGCGGGCAGCAAGGCTAGCATTTTCTACTCGTGACAAATTCGTAAATTATTTTAATTCTGATATGCCTATGCCCAATATATAGAATATTCGTTTTCACATTTGTGTAGACTGTAAATTATTTAACAAGTTAATAAAAAATATTAGGTACATACCATTTGTATTTAATTCTTTTCCTATTTCCATCCAAATCTTGTCTTTTTTTCTCACATTCCTGTATTCATCGTTCGATAAATCATACAAACAAGGATACTTTTTCACTATTTCTATCAATAATTCCGTTTTTGCCATTGCGAATTTTTGAAGAACGGCGTCAAAAACGCGGTCAAAGGCGAACTGAAATACGCCGCGATAAAAACGCTGGAACAATCGCATTCGCTTCGCACAAGTCTGAGCCTGTCCGTAAACCGCCGCGTTTTAATCTGATCGCGAATTCATCGCCGCGAAATTTTCGCAGCCAAAGCGAATATTTCGCGCCGGTTTGTGGGATGCTTAATGCTTTCAGCTTTCAACAGTCAAATACATGGTGAAATTGTGGAGTTAAAATCACCACAACCGTATTTGTATATCTGGCAACAATGCGTACCGACTCAAACTGGTCCAGACATACTCCGTCAGGGTTGCCACATCAACAGATGTGTCGTAGTTAACCAAATCTTCGAAGAAAATATTATGAGGAACTGACATTTCGCATGTTAAGTTGCAGTTACCTATCTTAAAAGCCCGATACAACTGAGTAACACAGTTGCTAGAATCACCAGCGCACGTTTGTCTCCCATTTCTCGACCCGATACTGAAAATCGTTCTGCTGGTAAATCTTACAGGCAAATAAAATGGGAAATATACAGGATGTCCGCAAAGTTGGGGTTTTCCTTTACACGACGTGTAGATCTTGAAAACATAAGCAATTTTTCTTAGTACCATATACACCAATGTCTTAAGGGAACCGAGATAAAGGGCTCTGCAACATCAAAAATATCTGAATACCGTCCTGTAGCCGCGACCCGCCGGGATATCCCCGGCACCCCGACTGGTACAAGGTCTCAACCCGATGGCAGATCTGGGTCGGGGTCAGTGTGTCAGGTTAGTATGCAACCTTCAACCGACGGCTACAGTCACGCGTGTAGAGGTCAACGAACTCGTATAATCGATTGCGTTTCAAAAAACAACAAGCACTAGAGACGTGGCTAGAGAAGTGCAAGTATCAAAAACTAAAGTGTGGCAAACGCTGCGTGAAGAGGGGCTGTATCCGTTTCACGTCCAACGTGTACAAGCCCTTCAACCTGACGATTTTCCAGCAAGAGTGCGGTTTTGTGAGTGGTTGTGGCATCAACATGACAATAATCCGGACTTTTTGAAGTGCATATTGGTGACAGACGAATCTACGTTCACGCGTAATGGGATGAATAACTTTCGCAACACTCATGTTTGGTCATTTTCAACAAATCGATTGGTCGGGATGCAATACCTAGACTTTTCACGCAACATTTTGCCTTCCTTGTTAGAAGATGTGCCATTAAGTGTAAGACAATCAGTGTAGTTTCTGCGTCTGCTCGG